CCGCGGCGAGGAGTGCCGCCGCCGCCACTTCGTCGTCGCAGCAGCATTCCGCCGCAGAAGGTACATAGATCGCTCCAGCCACCGCCCGCGCGTCGTCGTCGACATCGCCTTCTTCGGGACATGCATCCCGGCGTGTATTGAACGGCAAACCGATTATTTGGCCTGGGATGGTAGGGGCCGGCGAGCTGGGGGGCGGCGAGATGAAGGCGATGGAGAACAGCATGTTTGGGAGGGGTGCATGTGGGAGATCAAGAGCAACCTGCTGGGGGTCGCCCCTCCGAGCGGGGCATTCCGTTTGGGCTCGTGGCGCGCCTTGCATCGCGCGACGACACCGAGTCTGATATAACAATGTGGGTTTCGTATTTAGTTTTGTTTTGTTTGCCGTTCTTTCTGGCAGCGCGTTCTACTATTGCACTGGTATTTTCTTCCTTGTTTGTTGCTGTTCTTATGTACATCCAGAATCATGGTGGGTGAAGCCATCTGTGACCATGATTCTAGAGGGCATGAATAATAAAAAAAAAAAGGCAATCGATTTGTTTTTGTTTTTCCATATGAACAGCTTGCTTTGCAAGGGGGCTGTCCGCACGTTTGTTTGCTGGCGTATTGATTTTCGCGGAGTGTTCTTGGATGAACTCTGGAAATACAATGGGTATGTTTCGGGATGTGACAGAAGGGGGCTGCGGACATGTTTGTTGAGCTTTCTATCTTTTCTTGGACAGCAACGGCGGCACCGATTTGAGTGTGCGTACTGTTTAGTTTGGTCCTCAAAGACTAAACTAGAGAAAGGAGTTGGCAGGAGTGATTGTTGGGGCCTCTGTGCTTTCCGAATACTCGTTTCTGTCGCACAATAAGTTGTATTCGAGTAATATAATTTTGTTTGAGTTATTGTGCCTGCTCTTTGAAGCTGTTTTTCTCAGAATTGCCCGTTCTCATTCCGATGTTTTTCTGATACAGCGCTGGCGCTTGTATGGTATACCGTATTCTACACAAGATACCACACCCCGGTGATAACATTTTGGGCTTCAAAAATATTATCACCGGGTGTGGTATTGTGGGGGGGGTGTGGTATCTTGTGTACCCCGGTGATAAAGCCTAGCTCGCAGGAGCTCCTCAGGGGGTGTGATAAACCAGGGGGTGTGGTAGCACATGCGACCACCCACAGGGAGGGTTTGGGAGTGGGATAAAAAAGGGGGTGTGATAAAATGGGGTGTGATAACACGTCGGAACACCCAAAGAGTGTGTTCGGGTGTGTGATAAACAGGGGGTGTGCCGCTTGCGTAGAAGTCTGCTCGGGTTGAAAGAACGAGGTGATCTGTGGCGCCTGTGCTGCTGCGGTCGAAGCAGTCGTGGGAGAAGCAGATGTACTTGCGGCGGCATTCTGCTCTTCCCGCACGTTCATGTTCTCTGAGGTCTCCATGTCTCCCCCCGTACGGTACAAGCTGTGCGTGTGTGATGCTGTTTCACCCCCGGTGATAGAGACAGGGAATGTATGCGGCGTAACCTGTGTTATCACCGGGGTGTGGTATCTTGTGTACCCCCGGTGATAAATCATGGTCTGAAAAATACACCCAAAATTACCACCGGGGTGTGGTATTGTGGGGGGGGTGTGGTATCTTATGAGGGTGTGGTATCTTGTGTAGAATACGGTATACGGGTTTGTGGATTCCGATTTGTTTTTTTGTTTGGTTTTGGTTTTTGGCTTGTTTCGGAGTTGTTTGGATTTGTTTTTTGCGATTGAAATTGCACCTGGAAGAATATTTGACGGCATGAAGGCTGCGCTGAAAATGTTCAAGAAGGATGGTGATGGAACAGGGTTATCGGTTTGAGTCCTTGCGGCCATGGTGTGCAGGTCGCTACGGTTGTGCTACACGTTTTTGTTTTTTTTTCTTGTTTCGTGTGACATTTTTCTTGGTAGAAGGCTCTGTCTACGTTGTCTCCTTTGTATTTGGCGCGCCTTGCCATATATATATCATCGGTCAGGGGTACCCGCTCTATTTCTATAAAATGCTATGTCTTCGATGCTGTTGTCGATCGTCATTGGGGAATTGGTGCGTCATGGCAATTGATTGCCGCAACATTACGAAAAATGGAATGTTTCGTCTGTTTTCGATGTACGATTTGCGAAGTTCGGGATTTGATTTCATTCACAACGCAGGTTGCGATTTTTGGTGTTGCTCTCAGTACCCAAATATCACAGGATGGATGCGTTTATCAAGGAGAGGGTTGATTCTTTGACGTCTGGTGTACGGAGAAGGGGGGCGGTAACCAGATATGTATGGGTAGGGTATGCAAGAAGAAAAAAAAAGGTATTGTTGGAAACTGAACGGAGGTTTGTTTGTGTTCGAGGAATAATAGTCAAAGAGGCAGGGGGGGGCCTGTCTTCTGGCACTCAATGACTCCAATGTGCCTCGCGCTGTCAACCACGCAGGCAGCGTGTGTAGCGATGTCACATGCTTCAAGGAAATTCGTTTCTGAGGTAGATATGGTGTACTGTGTTGCCGAGGTCTTCTGGTTTGTGTTTTCATCGTGTTGGACGTTGAACTCAAGATTGGCCGATAGAAAATGCTGCGAAGGATTTTTGCATCAATGGTCTTCATGTTATTAGGATGATGAGGTATGGAGTCGAGCATTTTTGTGCATTCATGATTGATTTTTGTTTTCAGCTACTTGTGGATGTGAGGTATCCTCGGAAAGTGATTTGTCCCGGACGGTGTTGTATGTGTATGCGTATGTGTTTGTGTTATGGCTCTGTTAGCACATAGCCATTATGAGTCAATGTTCAGTAGCGCTGCACTTGTACGTCGTAGATCATCGTAGATCTGTTATGTGCCGGTTGGTATGTAACGTGCGTTGTATATGCGGAGGAATTACTTCTGTAGGGTTCTATGTTGCCTTGACGAGTAGCTCACTCTCTCGTGTGGATCCTTCCTGACTGTCTGGCATCGTAGCCATCCTGGTCATCTCCAGTACCCAGCCATCTTCTGGACTCCTGCATACTCTGCGGTTTATCTGTGTGTGTTGGCCACATAAGCACGAGTGTTTACACACAACATCTTGTCACCTTCTTCATCACACGGAAGCACTCACGTCTCCCAGGGCGTCCACTACACTACTAGTGTCACCAACTTGATTAGCGTCAAGGACACAGCCTCTCTGCCACCTTGCTGGGGTATACCACAATATCCATAATAGTTTGTATTAATTTGTTTCCGATATGACCCATGGCGGTTGTTTCTATTATTTGAGTTTTGAATGATTTGATATTGGAAATTTGGAAAATTCACCAGCGACCGATGGAAATTCTTGGTGGTGTTGTTCCTGGTTTAATGGTTCTCAACCGATGGGAATTCCAATCATCAGTGTTTCTGATTTAATGGTTGTAGTGAATGTTTTGATCCTTGGAGATTCTGGACACAATGAATGGGGGCCGATGGAAATTCTGGTAGGAACTACTAGTTTCTGGTTTTATGGTTTATTTTTGTTACAAGAGAATAGGAGGAGATCCGACTACTGTTGGACATTGACATTGATTTCTGGAGCTTTTGGGATGGGTTTTGTGTGATACGTAAGTCCGGGAATATTCTTGACAATGCAGCGAGCAGGGGGGCTGTTGGATGTACTCACAGCATTGACAGATTATTGCAACCGAGGAACGTTCCGAGAAGATGGAGCGGGGAATTTTTGGGGTTCCGCAGTTGTGGTACATTGGGGGAATGGTGGCACCATCTTTGCCACATACATATTGCTGTTTGCGGGGTATACGTGCCTGCAACGGTGTTGACCACGTGCCCTTAGATAAATTTCATCTTCCTTTTCCCGGCTATCACGCTCTGGGCTATCACGCCCGTGTCCACACATATCCACCGGCTATCACGCTGCCAGGCTGTCACGCCTCTAGGCTATCACGCCATCACAACAGCTATCACAGCACCAGCTTCAACACATCAGAGCCATCACGCTCCGGAACATCACAGATGCGGCGGGTAACCGCATCCGTGGGCAGTTTACTAGTTTTTAGGCCTGTCCTCCATCGGCCGTTTTGCTTGTATGACGGAGAATAAGAAGGTGGAATTACTTGAAATTAGTATAGAAATAAAGTTAGTGTATCTAAATCGAAAATAAAACGGCCGATGGAGGACAGGCCTAACTAGTTTACTGTATTATATCGTTGCCGGCAAACTCGCCGCGCGGTTCTTTTATTTTTGCCATCTACAACTGCGCCGGGCGCACCAAGCTACTCAACAACGTTGTTGAAAGCTGTGAAATTCAAACTCGGAGACTCAAGGGGGGGCTTCGGGGTTGAACGGAGGCGCTCGAAAAATAACAGCAGCTATGAAACACCGGAGTAGATTGCAAGAGCGGGCAGCCGAGGTTTTGATTGCCGTATCCGACATCTCACTACCATGAAACGATTTGCGTTGAAACGGTCCGAAAGTAGCTCTGCGTCATTTTCCCCGAGAACAAAGACTTGACTGGCCAGCGCTCTCTCTTTCTCCCTGTCTCTGTCTCTGTCTGTCTGCACTCTCTGTCTCAGGCCGGATACATGTCTCTTCCAAACAAATGTTTTCGCCACTCAAACACTGTATGTAGTACTTATTTTATAGTCTATGCACCTTGTGGTACCCGTTTACGACGAGCAAGTAGCACCCCTTGAGCGTCGTCGTCGTGCCGTCCTCATTGTACACGTCGAACGTCTTCTCCGTGTACTGCTTGTCCGTCCGAATCTTCTCCACCGCGGCATCCCAGCAGACGATGGTCTTGTCGTTCGTCGAGCCGGTGAAACCCTCAGTCACGGCAATTGCCCGGCCAGCGTGATCAACCGTGACCTCGTACGCGATCGTGGGAAACCCCTCCTCGCCTGTGATCGAACGGGCTTGGTTGTAGGGGCACCTGCTCCAAGCGATATGTGTGACGTCCATAGAACCCACCGCACCCGTAAACCCCAAGCCGATCGTACTGCTTCATGACGTGGTCCAGCTTGCCGCTCTCTTCCGTAGGGAGGTGAATTTGTTCATCATACATCTCCCGTGCGAAGTGCCTGCAGAACTTGTGGAACATCCCCTGCATGGTCTTCGCGCTCATCCACGACATCTGGTATATATATATGCTTGCAAAGCAGTTGCCCCTCCCCAGTATGGTCAATCAGGCCAGCACCTGCAGCACCAAGTCACCAACGCATGCACACACGGGGATACAAGGCGGACACATGGTCATTGTACTGCTGTGGAAGCATCTTACCGACTGGAGGACTGAGTGTTGCGCTGTACATACCACAGCAAACAAACACTTGAGGTGACTCGAATCTCCGCCCCAGCCTTATCTCGGCATTTCGACCGAAGGCGGGTTCCGAGCTAAAGACGAATCACCTTTCCCACCTCGGAGAAGAAAAAAAAAAAAAATGACTTCGCAGATCGTTCTCAAACGCCCAAAAACGACGTTTAAAAAAAGTTCCCAAAAAAAAAAGTTCCCCTTCAGCCCGAACTTTTTTTTTCGCCGCATTGCCGAACTTTTTCGCCACGGGAATCGTCGCCAATCGATTCCGCTTGGTCGAATTAGGGGGGGTAGAGCCACTCAGAAAGTTGGTCAGACAAAAAGTGGTGGTGGGAAGCGGGCTTGAAAATGCTGCGCGGCCAGGGCCCAGCGGTGACTGCCGCTGGCGAATGTACACGCATCATGTATGCTGGCCAAACAAGATACGAGGTTATCCACAAGTGGTCCCCACACGAACGAGGAATCAAGCTTCGCACCACCTTGTTGGACAGCAAGAGGAAGGGCAGAAAAGCCGCGGAGAACACAGGCTACTGCGAGGCTAGCGAAGTGGTTTTGTCCAACTTGGCCCGCGAAAAGGCTGACGCCATCATGGCGGGCAAGCGAAACGCAGCTCGGAAGAACGGCATACCACAAGGCGGCGGAAGCGGGGGTTGCGGGGCAGACAGGGTTATGTCCTGCCCCGTCATCGCCGCCATCCAGGGTTCGCATGAGGGATTGAGGACACGTTCTTCTGCCACCACCAACCCGGCTGCTAATAACCCAGAGGTAAGCTGCGCGTCCGGTTGGGCAAGTACGATGTGTGGTACTGCTGTAGCACGGGTGCTGCTGCCTGCTGCCTGCTGCCTGCTGCTGCCTGCTGCCTGCTGCTGCCTGCTGTAG